GAATGCCACCTCACCCCCAAGCAGTATCTCCTCAGACTCTCAGCTTTTCAGCTCCCCTAAGGAGGACCCTCACCAGCAGTCACACGTGATTGCAAAGCACAGGGGGAGAAGTGGCACCGTTTTCTCTCCCTCTGTTCTTGACGATAGAACAGTGAGATCATCCCCAAAGCAGCCCGGGGGGCGGGGGCTTAGACTTCACAATGCCACAGAAATGATGGGTTTGGTTAGCAACAACAGGGCCTGGCTTTGCAGGAACACTTGTGCGCACCAGCTGCACTCCCTCTGTGTGTTTTCAGCAGGTCGGACTACCCTGCACGAGGTGAGGAAAATATCTCGCACAGCGTTACGAAGACTCAAACCACCAGTCTCCAAGGTAGAGTTACAACTAGATTTCCCGGTAAAGCAGGAGGTGAGGTACCGTGCAGGCTCCTTGCCAGACACAGAAACCGTGCGCTAGCCCCTGGAGCCCAGCCAGCCTCAGCTCCTCTCACCATCCCAGCCCAGCCTCCAAATTCGTGCCTTTGCTAAGTCCCTGAGGCCCCTCGCCTTGCTTTCTGCATCGGTCCTCAAGAATCCCCTCAATGTTCCTGAAAGTCTGCTTGCCCACCCAACTCACATTTTGCTGCTCCCTCCCCGTCACCCCCTGGTAACCTGGCCAGGCTTCTCTCAGTCCCGATGATGCCTCCCTGTCATTGCCAGCCTTTATCTGGTCTGTGAGCCCTGGGTATAGGAGCTCTGTCTTCTCAAGCCCATGTCCCTTCCACCATGCCTGGCACACAGTGGGCACTCAGCAAGCACTGGGTGACGGACTAAGGCAGTCACACCACAGTAGATGTGTTCCCCTTTTTTCATCTGTGCAGCGGTGTTCCGAAGCCAAACTGACTGGGTTTGGCAGACCTTGTACCCCTGATCGCCCACTGTCTCTCCCAACTCTCTAAAGCACACTGTACACCCCACAAATCAGTTGAGGGTCATGTGATTATTGTGCATTTTGGTTAATTGCAAACCCAATTAGTTCCCATAATAAATGCTGGCATTTACACAAAGTTGAAATAGGCCACTGGTTCTGAAAGTGCATGTGATGTGGTTTCCTGATGGGCAAGGGAACTTAGCGGAATATTTATGACACTCACACATGACATCCTAGCTATTGTCCATGCTCCTCTTTATGGCATCATAAAGATTGCTTTTTACGGTCAGGCTGGCTGATATCTTCATCAAATCCCCTAATGTGCACATTCACCAGAGGAGCACTTGTGCCAATGAGTAACATTTCAGCAACGTTCAACAAAGGTTTATTGAGTGCCTGCTCTGAGCAGGGCACTGAGTAATGGGATTTGTCTCCAAAGCTTTCAAATCTGCTAAAAATATTCTCAATTTCACAAACAGTCAAGACAAAAAAATAGCTTGCTCTAGTCTCCCCTCTGGGGCCCACTGGGTGAAAATGCACCTAGAGCTGCCCAGGGAAATAAAACCTCCCTTCATGGACCTTCCAGATCTCTTGAAAAGTTCTGTCTGCAGCTGGCCCTGAAGAACTCACTCATTAAATTCTGCACACAAGCTCTGCTTCCAAGCAGCTGAGCTTTGGGGCACCCTGCAGCCCCTCGGCCCTGAGGACCTGCCTCGCAGAGTCCCAGAGACAGGGCGAAACACAGATGGCCACTGCCCTCCTCTCCCTACTTCAACACGATTCAAAGGCACCTTCAGAGCAGAGGGAACAACACCATTATTATGTCCTTTGAGCCCCCGTTTCTTCATCTGAAAGTGGGAATCGTGCTGTCTTACCTCCCGCCCCGCTAACCCCGGACCCGGGCTGCCACGCAGAAGGGGCTGAGAAGATGGGGGAAGGGGACGACAGGGGAGGAGCACGTCAGGACCCTCAGCCAGCCTCAGTGAGGAGCCAGACACGGAGGAAGGACGAGGACAGGGACAGTCATGCCAAGGCTTCGAGCCCAGGGGCCACGTGGATGGTAACTCCACAGACCACAGCAGAGGAGCCACACTAGCATTGAGGGCCAGTGGCTTTGACTTTGGCTGTTACGTGTGCCCAACCTCACTCCCCTTCTTCCCTACCCAAACCTAGTTCCCCCTTAAGCCAGTGTTTCTTCCCCCCCGAGGAAGCCTTCCTGGCCATTAGAGGGGAAAACAATCTCTCTTTAGTGTGTGTTCCTCACAGCATTTCGGAATCACTGGATGGGATCCCTCCCCACTCGATAGGAATGATGTGCCTGGGGGCCTGGGGCCAGCAGGCAGAAGACAGGCAGGACTGACACATCCAGGTGACATGTCCGGAAGCAAAGGCCTGGACTGAGAGACAATCCTAGGGGCCCCAGGGGCCCCAGGGCATGGTGAGGAGGCATCAGGAGTGGAGACAATCCAGGAGCGTGCAGGCAGGAAGGAAAGGAGTTGCCCTAAGGTACTGAGCAGAACGGAGCATGTGTGTCGGATGCCTGGTGATCCTTGCCCAGGCAGCTTTGGCACCCAGTGTCCCCAGCACCTTGCCCCCTGGGCCCGTCCCTACTGGGACACCCCCTTTCAGGCAATCAACAACGCCACCTCTCCTACCCCCAACTCAGGATTATGTGCCTTTGATGACTGAAGGGAAAATGAAACGCTCCACCTAAAAGCAAATAGCAACATTCTTTAAACATGTTTCTTTTTGGTGCCTGGCGCATAGCCCTGTCTGCCGGCTCCAGGCTACCCCTGGCATTGCCTAATAAAACCTTCTGAAGCAGAGCTGACGGGGGCATTTTACCTGGGGAGAAAAGCTATTGATTGTTGACATGCTGCTGGCTCCTTGGGTTTCCGATATCAATAGCTCATCAATGCCTCCTGAGTGTTGAACAACTTGCCTTCTCTGCACTCCGGACAGAACAAGAGCAGTTCCAACCGTGGGAAAGAAAGAAGAGCTCGCCCATGCGAGTACAGATTGTCTTTGTTTCAAATAACCTGGTTTTCACGGCCCGGTATTTATTACTCATTTATTCACCTCCCCAACACCCACTATGACGCATGACACACTGAATTTGAATCTCCTTCCCTTCACCAAGAAACCGAAGGCCCTGCTGACACAGGCGCCCTGGAGTGTCGTGGGAGGTTCCTACACAGGTCCAGGGGGTGGCCCTCATAGACACAGTTTCGCACCTGGTCACAAGGGCCTCAGCCACCTCTCTCAATGTCATCAGGACACCAGCTGTGAGGTATTTTAAATGCAAGCACTGTGGACTAATCAGGTCCGGTGGCTGTCATCTCCCTGGGAAATCTCAACCCCATGGGACCAGCTTCGGCCCAGAGGCCGATGTTCCCCAGGCCTGCACCCACATCTCATGTGACAATGTCTCTGAGCCCCAAAAGGGAGCTCCCTGCCTACAGGGACTCTCCAATGACCTGCAGACACCTCTACCTCCGTACATACGAAACCGAATTTGGAATCTTCCAACATTTGATCACATGATCGCATCTCCTCAGACTACGGGGCCACCTGTATCCTCGAGCCATAGTCATGAACATTTCCCAACTCCTTCCACAGCCAACTGGTGCCGCCAAAGCCTGCTGGTAGCTAACGCGTGATATCGCTACCACCCACTCCTCTCCATCCCCACAGCAGCCCCGGGTGGGCTGGGAAACAGCTTTCTGACTGACCCCTCATCTTCTCTCCACTCTGCTTTCACCCTATCGTCAGCATGATCTCCTTGAAAATGCAAACCCGACCCTGACCTGCCCAGCACTGACCTCCCGGGTCAAGTCTTCCCCTAAACACGGTACGGCAGCCAGAGAGATGTGCCGACAGCTCCCCGACGTTCCCACCTCCGGCCTCGGTCAGGCTGTCTGTTCCCCAGAGGGACCTCTTCTGGGTTGCCTGCCTGACTCCTTGTCCCGCCCTCAGTGCCTATCCCTCAGCCTTCTGTGCCCATACTCGAACCTTCCTCTAACTGTGCACTCATCGTGTGCCTGTTGCCCTCCACTTCTGGGTCAGTCTGGCTTATTAAAAAAGCGGGCTCCATCATTTACCCCAGCTGCGCCCCCAGCATCTAAGCAGCAATCAGAAAAGCCCATCTGACCAAGGAGTGGAAGGAGAGTTTCTGCCTCACCAACGATGTTTCCCTTTTTCCCAGGCTGGCCCTCACACTGCCCTCAGAAAGCAGCCAGTTTGGGGGTCCTTACCCTATGGACAAGAACCCACAGGGTAATTCAGATTGATGAGCTAAAGGAAGGTGCCCCCAAAAGTTTACAGCATGGAGACCTACTCGTTAGGGGGAGAGAAAGTGGTGCAAGCCCAGTGATCCTCCAGAAAACTCCCTCTGTCCCCGATGCCTTTTCTCCAGTCATGTAGGACTGGAGAGAGTGCTGGTCTCACGGGCCTTTTTTCTCCAGTTTCTTTAGCCAGGAATATTTTACGGTTTAATGCTCGCTGTTCTTCTCAAATGCAGAAGTGTGAGTGGCTCCCTGCTGGGAAGGCTGGCTTCATTCCCAGAGGGGCTTTTCACTGGGAAGTGAGTCTGCAGGCTGAAAGCAACCTACAGCCGGGAAGTGATCCTCAGGCTGAAAAAATACCAGGATGTGGCCCTCAAACCCCAGGGCCCCAGCTCATAAGACAGTCTAACATTTAGAGAAGGGCAAGGCATCCACCAGTAGAGTCTGACCCTGACCCTGGGACAGCCACCACGCCCTGTGGCCTCAGACTAGTCACTGCGCTGGCTAACCACTAGAGTCCTCACCTGTGACATAAAGGAGTTTGACTAGATGATGTGGCTGTGTTTCTTAAGCATCATACCTCAGTGCCAATTTTTGGGGTCTGGGGCAATGGTCACAAGTACTGAAACAGTCCTGGCCTCAGGAAACTTTCCCATAAAGTGCGAGAAGACAACCAGGAGTGAGGAATACTCATACAGTGTGTGGTGGATGTCTCCAAAGGCACTGGTTCATTGAATGAAGCGCTGATTTATTAAGAAGGATGACATCTCCTTCTCAATCTCTGGCTAGCAGAGCTGTTCACCTACCTTGTTCCAATGATGGGCAATCTCTTCTCTCTTCAGGAAGAAAAAATATCTCTTTGAGGTGGAGGCAGCTGAGAGCCACCCGTCACTGTCTGTGGTAGGCAAGGTCACGGCAGCCCCTAAGAGAGGGGGGTTTAAGAAAATTGCCTGATAAGTCCTTGTTCCTTAAGCTCAGAGCCTGGCAATAAGATTCAAACTGCTCCACAACCAGGCAATGTAAGAATCTGGTTCCCATCACTGGGGGTGAGATGGAGGGAGGAAAGAAGAGGAGAGGAGGAGAAGGGGAGAAGATAATGCTGCTGAAACTAATTGTAAATTGCTATTGATTGTTATACAAAATAAAATACAGTACACACACACACAACCTAGAACTAAAAGCCAACTTAAAAGGCCATAAGGTGATGATGAGGGTGTGGGGAAGTAAACTGCTAAGATCTGGCCATCAGAACGAATGAAGAACTGATTCATGCTACAACACGCGGACACTCTGTTAGGCCATCTGCAGAAGACCACATATGTACGTGCATCTACAGGAAATACTTGCAGTGTCTCGAAGACATGAATCCACAGATAAAAAGTAGATTCATAGTTACCCACAACAGAGGGCGGGAGGAAGGAGGGAGGTGAGGGCAATGACTAAAGGGTTCAGGGTTTGTTTTGGGGGTAAGAAAACATACTAATATTCATTATGACCATGTGAAATAATATACAACTCTGGGAGTATACAAATAATCACTGAACTCTATACTTTAAATGGGTAACTTCTGTGGAAATTATCTCTCACAAAAGCTGGTATATATATAATTTTTTAAGTGCACCAAGGCTCTTGTACTTGCTGTATTGAGGAGAGATCGTTATAAATACTGATTAGTTCTAAATACTGATAGATGAAATGCTGACTATTAATTCAATTACCACAGTAAGAGCCACTCCTTGGTCACAAGAGAGCAGACTAATCAAGAAATGTCACTCCCGAATGCTACTTGCTAAACTCGTTCTATTCCTAGATTTGTTTGGTGGTTGGAAGAAGCATCGGTGTTGGTTGTTCGGCAGCTGTAATAAAGTGAACTATATGTTTTATAATGAATGTTAATTCTGGCAGTTGCAATATGTGCAAAAACGGAACTCTCCCAGTAAGGTATGAAGTAAGAGTTCTGCTGGGAGACGCTGTGGAGCAAAGCCGGAGGGACGGGGCACGCTCAGGTGGAGAAGATGCCAGAAGGAACATGGGGAGAGGAGGAGGGGGCTGGGCATGGGGATGAAGACAATGTAACTTGCAACTCGTAAGTCTCATGGACCACGATGAGGCCAGCATGGTAGATATTAAAACTAGACTCTACTTGAACTCTCTTATGCTCCTAAGACTTGATCTTGGCAGAGTCCAATGGTTCTCAAACTTGTGAACGCACCAGAATTATCTAGAGGGCTTGTCAGAACACGGCCTACCGGGCCCCACCCCCGAGTTTTGGATTCAGTAGGTCTGAGATGGGACTGAGAATATTTATTTCTAATAAGAGCCAGATGAGGCTGATGCTGCAACTGAAGCAGCCGTTCTGTGGACCATGCTCTGAGCAGCGGCAGTGAAGGGAGCCTGCCAGACGCAGTTCAGCTCAGAGGACTCAAGAGGCGTTTCTTAAGACTGTTCGTGAGATGTTCCAGGGCAGAAAGGGTTAAGGGAGAGAGGACCCTCGTGCGGTTTAGACTGCATTCTGGCTTCCTGCTTACTGACTGCAGTCAGTCAAGTTACCCCACAACAAACCCCCTGAAACTGCTGCAGGGGTGATGGGCACAGCTGGGTGGTGCGAGTCTGTATTCATTAGGAGGTCATCCACACTGCATGTCTCCCACGGGTCTGACGCAGAACGATTTGTTCCGACCAACCTGATACTCCTCGGGGCTCGCCCACCTGCGAAGTCTGCAACTGAAGACACTGAAATCCCTCATGCATTTCTCACGGGTCTCCGAACAGTCTTCAAAGTGCTGATGCACACGTCCATGGAGTGGCCACACAGATACACACACGTGTCCCGAGTGTCTTGAAGCTTCTTAACAGCATGCATGCTGAGTGCTTATTATCTGCCAATAATAACAACACTCATGATTAGAAACAAGTTACTCATAATTATAGCCTGCATCGGGGGCAAATTAATGAATCTGAGCCCAAGAAACCTTTGTTTCCAAAATGCAATTTTTTCCCAGCTTTATGGAGATACGATTGACTAATAAAATTGTATAAACTTGAAGTACACAACATGATGATTTGATACACATATATATTGTGAAAACACTACCACAATAATGTCAGTGAACACACCTATCACCTCACACAGTTACTACTCTGTGTATGTGAGTATCTTTCAAGGACATTCGGGACTTCCGGCCAAGATGGCACCATGGATGCACCATACCTCCACGTACAACCACGATTGGAACAACAACAATTTAGAGGCAGAATAACACCTAGAACTGACAGAAAATTTATCTGAATGGAAGTCAGACAGCCAAGAAGTTGAAATAGACCTATTCATCCAGACCGGTAAGAGGGGCAGAAACGAGCAGCCGGGCGCGGGTCGCACCACGGAGAACAGGGAGAATTGGGCGCATAAGGCAACCGGGAGCGCGTAAGGCATCCGGGGCGCGCAGGATTGCAGCGGGTGGACCCTGAGTACGCAAGCAGCAGCTGGCAGACCCAGTGAGGCGGTGATTGTGGAGCAGGGCAGAGCAAGCAAGCCAGGGTCCCAGGGAAAGGACTAAGATCCCAGGAGAACGGAGTTACCGCCATTGTTCCCTCTCGACCCCGCCCTCACATATAATGTCACAATCGAGCAACTGGGGTGCCCAGCCCTGGTGAACACCTAAGGCTCCACCCCTCACCGTAACTGGAGCGACCAGACCAAAAAAAAAGAGAGAGAGAGAGAGAAGGCTCAAATAGAAGAACAAATCAGTGCCCCAGAACTCAACCTTTTGAGCGACCAAGAGATAGCTAACCTATCAGATGCACAGTTCAAAACACTGGTGATCAGGAACCTCACAGAATTGGTTGATTTTGGTCGCAAATTAGATGAAAAAATGTAGGTTACCATAAAAGAAATTAAGGAAAATGCACAGGGAACTAATAGTGATGGGAAGGAAACTGGAACTCAAAACAATAGAGTGGACCAGAAGGAAGAAAGAAACAACCAAAAAGGAAAGAATGGAGAAATAAGAATTCAAGAAAACAAGGAAAGGCTTAGGAACCTCCAGAACATCTTTAAACATTCCAACATCCGAATTATAGGGGTACCAGAAGGGGAAGAGGAAGAGCAACAGATTGAAAATGTATTTAAACAAATAATAAAGAAGAACTTCCCCATTCTGGCAAAGGAAATAGACTTCCAGGAAGTCCAGGAAGCTCAGAGAGTCCCAAAGAAGTTGGACCCGAGAAGAAACACACCAAAGCACATCATAATTACGTTAGCCAAGGTAAAAAATGAAGGAGAGAATCCTAGAAGCAGCAAGAGATAAGGGGACAGTCACCTACAAAGGAGTTCCCATCAGACTGTCAGCTGATTTCTCAAAAGAGACCTTACAGGCAAGAAGGGGGCTGGAAAGAAGTATTCCAAGTCATGAAAGACAAGGACCTATATCCCAGATTACTCTATCCAGCAAAGCTTTCATTTAGAATGGAAGGGCAGATAAAGTGCTTCTCAGATAAGGTCAAGTTAAAAGAGTTCATCATCACCAAGCCCTTATTTTATGAAATGTTAAAGGGACTTATCTAAGAAAAGATTAAAAAAAAAACTTGTATAGTAAAAGGACAGCAAACTCACAATTATTAACAACCACACCTAAAGCAAAACCAAAAGAAACTAAGCAAATAACTAGAACAGGAACAGAACCACAGAAATGGAGATCACATGAAGGGTTACCAACAGGGGAGTGGGAGGAGAAGAGATGAGGAAAAGGTACAGAGAATAAGTAGCATAGATTGTAGGTAGAAAATAGACAGGGGGAGGGTAAGAATAGTATGAGAAATGTAGAAGCTAAAGAACTTATGACACATGGACATGAACTAAAGAGGGGGGAAGAGGGTGGGAGAGGGTGTACAGGGTGGAGGGGAGTGAAGGGGGAAATCGGACAACTGTAATAGCATAATCAATAAAATATATTTTTAAAAAAAGACATTCAAGATCTATTCTCTTTGCAAATTCCAGTATACAGCACTACGTTAACTATAATCACCATGCTATACATTGGGATTTTCGCCCTGGTGAAAGGAGCATTAGGAAATACAATATTTTCTTAAGGCAACTTTCCCTGTAATGAGATAGGGCAGAGACCAGCTGTAGTAGGGCTGATGAAGATTAAGATGGGCTCCTTAGAAAGCATCTTGAGACAGAACATACAAATCACCATGGAAACCAAGCCATGTTTTTATTGTATAATAGGTTTGCTAATTATACTAAAAAGGTAAGAAAGTCCACTGCCTAAAGGGAGATCGGGATGAGGATTAATGAGTAACGCAGCAAGAAAACGGAGAAATGGGGCAGCCGGGAGCGTCCAGCACTCCTTGACCTGCCAGGCAGGAATGATATGCACCCAGGGGTCTTGCTATCCTGCTGGATGGAGGGAAATGAGGACCAGCCATGTTCCCCAGCCTCTGTGCTGCCTCTCTGATGGTTACGGTACCCATGGAACCTCCCAGAGGGTGGGGGAGCAGACCGTGCTGCCAGCACCCCACCCCCAAGGTCAGTGTGGTCCTGTGGCACACACCTTCCAGGTAACAGGCTGGACCGGAACACAAAAACAAGGAGGATGTAAGCGCATCCTGGACACCTGCCCAAGGGAATTCTGCCCACGTTAGCTCACTGCATGCTGTACTAAAACCTTGCCTGGACAAAACTTAACATTTGCTGAACACCAATCATGTCTGAACACTGCACCCTTTTTTCAAATTCTAATAATCTCAAGCACAAAGGAATATGAAGAAAGGGACAGGACAGTATTCTAAGTAAACACAGGCTAGATTCAACATATAGATTTGCCACACTTCTTTCAGACCTTTTCATTTTTTAAACACAGCACTTCTAATATAATTTAAGTAACTTCTGAAACACCCCTAATGGGGTCCTTCCTTTCTTCTCTGTTTTTACTAATCTAAGTACCCATAAAAAATAACATTGTATTTTTAATTTTACATAATTGGTATCACATTACATTTAGATTCTGCCACTTCATGTTTTCACTGGACATTAAGTTTCCGGGAGCTGGGGACAGAGAAAGTACAGAACACTAACTGAGCTCAACCATGTGGCGGGGCTCACCCCCATGAACACAGGGCACTTGCAAGGAAGGGAGCGTGTACGATGCACACCCTTGGGACCGGAGACTTTCTGAGACCTAGAATGTGGCCAGTTGAAGGAATGTTCCCTGTAGGCCTGCAAAGTGTGCGGCGTCTGTGTTTCTGGGGTTCCTCTGTGTGTACCAGATCAAGCATGTAAGTAGTGCACATGTACTAATTAGTGTCTACGTAGTCTCATTTCTGAAGGGTTATGTCTTAAATTATAGAAACAAAACTTTAACTGTTATCAGTTACTTCGATCATCACAACTTTTCAAAAACGTGGATGATCTGACTCAGGGATGGAAACGGCTTCTAGGAGTATCTTCAACTGAAGAAATGTTTACCTACTGGGGCAAAAAAAAAAGTGGCAATTCAGCCCACATTTAAGTCCAGATCCATGAGGCTCTGGAATGGTAACTCTCAGCCTCTAGATAACTGTGCATATTCTAGCAAACAAAAACCAAACATCTGAATTGCATCCTGCCGCCATTCACTTGGCATTCTGGTGGACCTTGTCTGCTGATTTGGGATGGGTCCCCCATCCCTAAAAAATTTCCCCAGAGTGTACCACCTCCCATTGATGTCCCAGCAGGTACCAGGCCCTCCAGGCCTCCCCTTTACCCTCTCCCGCTGGTCAAAGCTCCCATCTGGTGGCCCAGTGATGGCAGGTTCATGAACTAGGAACCAAAGCCCAATTCACAATGCTTTCCCAGCTTTCATGTCTGCATTTCAACCCTGTTAGAACAGAGCCTGAAGTGGCAGATTCACCATGACAATTAACGTAGCTGAGAAATCAAGACCCCTCTCTTGCAAGGACCCCTTAGGCCCTGTACTTCACTCTATAATTTTGTTTTTCCAAAGAGGACTCCAAAAATCAAGGGAACCTCTGGCCACCCAGAACCTGGAACCATGCCTGCAGAAATGACACCTTTACCTAAGAGATTTTCTAGCCAAGTAGTCAGGTGCTGTAGGGGGGTTCACAGGTCATAATCTCGGGATTACAGCTTAGATCACAGACACAGACCTCTCCGTGCCCCACTTGTGCACCAGGCTGGGCGCCTCCCCCCACCCCATGGGACTCGCTGGCCTTGGTCAGCCCTGCTCCGCTGTGGCCTTCAAACCAAGGAAAGGCCACGGCTCCCAGCTCAGCAATTCGCCGGGGGCCCCACCCTGCTCCAGCTGTGTCCACTGGGTTCTTGGGGAAGGGCCAGCCCAAGCCAGATGATCTGACATGATGAAAAGGGAAATTCTCTGCATTCTTTCAGCAGAAGACATTTGCCAAATGCAATGCAGAGAAGAGAAGCAGGCTGGGGTTTTCTTGAGCAGCCAAATGCATCTTCACCCCTAATACAGTTCTCTAAGGGGAAAAGCTGGATCACATCTCAGTAAATCGAATTTCAGGGGGAGCTGGTGTCTGCTGTGGACAGAGCTGGGGGCCAGGGAAGGGGAGCCAAGGAAGGATGTGCGACGAAGCATCGAGATGCTCTCCCGGTGCACGAACTTCCAGTATTGGAAAAATGTCTTCCTATTCCCAGAAATGACCCAATGGAACAATCAGATTACATTATTTTCTCCAGTCATCAATGCACAGTGATGGCTTCAGATGGAAAGGGCCAAAACCCTGTTTTTAACTCTGTCCTAACTCTCCCATACTAACCGGTTACCCAAAGATTCTCACAAAGGTCCTCTTTCCCAGATGTTCATTTTCCTCTCTCACCAGCAACTAAGGAGGTTTGGTGGGAAACATGTCAGTCTGTCAGTCTGAACTTCCCAAGCCAGCTTCAGCTGGTCAGCTTCTACCAAGACACTTGAGGGGTGCCCAGAAGGCTGGCCAGAGCTGTCTTTCCCCATAGCAAGGGGGGCATCTACAGCTCTAGAATCACTTCCAAACATACCCTCTCAGGAAGCCTGTGCATTTTAGTTATTAGACGCATCGGAATATCTGGTCGTGCTGGCAGAACCAAATATTCCTTCAACACTCAGCTGGTCACCTCCTCCACGAAGCCTGTCTGATTGCCTCCCACCCTGAGGCTGAATCAAGCATCCACCTCCCAAACATCTCTGTAGAATATGTGATTTTTATATAATTGTCTACATCCATTCTATCTCCCTCACCGGTCTGGAGGCATAACATTTCCACCCTCCCCTGCTATGATTCTATCTCTACCACCCTTTAGAGTTCAAAAAGACCTCTGACTTACTTCCCACTTAATTGTTATGACTACGAGTTGCCATTTTATCCATCAAGGAGCTGAGACTTGGAAAGGCCGTCAGCACCTAGACCTACATCCAGATCCCGATTTCGAGTCTGGTGTCACTTTCCCCATTCCGGGGCTACAAGAAACAAGGCTTTGAGGGAATAAAGATCCTGGAAGGGCAAAAGCCCAGAACATAGCTTCTCTGCCCTCAAACATAAGGCTGGATGATAAATTATAGTCAGAGGTGCCAAAAATACACCACAACCACAAATCAAAATGCCCCCAGATGCCCAGCTGGGATTGCAAACGGCTGACACAGTCCGGGCAGGGACTCGGACCCACCTGTCGGGCCCACCTAACAGGCCCACTTTTTATTCAGAGCCAACAGGTTGCTACCACACAGGAACACAGGCCCAGAATGACTAATTTTATTTTTGTAGTTGGAAATCTGGACTTTTAATACAAAGTCTACAATATTTAAATGTCGGCAGCCAACCTAAAGCTTAAAAAAATACTTAGGGCCAAACAACTACATCGGCAAGCTGAACACAGCCTACATGCAGGCCACCGGTGTGCAAACGCTGGTGCAGGACCACCCCCTGGACATCGATCGATCCACGCGCATCGATTTAATGCAGCTCTAGCACCCCGCCCACCCACACGGCACCACCTTGCCATGTAGAAAATGGGGCGGGCCATCACATTTCCTAGTGTACAGTCTGCGTTGCTTTGATTGCTAGCTCCCTTGGAGAACTGGAATTTCGGAGGGTTCACACACAGAAATGGTGGCTTCAGCGTAAGGCCGCCACTTTGACTTGACTTTCTGCTCCTCCATAAAGCCTTTGTCCTCACAGGTCACAGCTGAGTAACAACCTCACGATTTTATTAACCACAGGCCATTCAGATCAGCCAGCCTCGCAGAAGGAGACTATCTTTTAAAATTTGTGTCTGATTTGGCATTTATTTTGTGTCCATGAATCTTTCAACTACTTTCACATAGGCTCCCTTTCGGATGGCTGTTCAAGTGCCCCACGGAACCTCACCTGACATGTGTACAACAGTGAACATGTCACAAATGAGAAACAGAGGAACGATGGACTCCAAACCTTCAACGCGCCCTCTCCTCACTGCCCCTCTGCAGGCACTTTCATCTTAGGCCAGCGGAAAGGCTGATCTCTCTCTCCCGCCGTTGCAATCATTATCAGCACCTGCCCCGCACCATGCCTCACTGAATCCTCACAGCAATCCTCTAAGGCAGGGCCTAATTTTGGTGTTGTAAGGAGAACAAGGCCCGGAGAAGGGAAAATACACTTAAGTAGCCAAGCTAGGATTTGAACCCAAATGAAAGCAATTCCGGGGTCCACACCCAATGATAGATACCAGCTGTATAACCTTCACGGGCCCTGTTAGAATCCCTATTGTACAGATGGAGAAAGTGGACAGAGAGATCCTAAAACGCCCTGAAAGTCACGCCCAGCTGGTTAAAAAAAAAAAAGCAGATTCGCAATTATATCAGGTCAACAATAGACCCAGTTCTAAATCCACTTCTAAATTTTAACACAGGCTTAGTTGAAATGAAAAAATGATGATAATAAGTGTAAGAAAAAAGTTTAACCCTGGCTCTGCTCTAATCCCTGCTAATCGCACCTTTAATTAAAAAACTAAAGGGGAAAAAAAGGTACACATGAGCTTACCCTGCTGGCTCTCCCCCTTCATTTGTAAGTCTGATTTCTCCTCTGTTTACATGTTTGCTCTTGTCTGCCAGCCTCTCCCCGCTCCATGTGTGGTCCATGGATCCACAACATCAGCAACATCTGCAACATCTGTGAGTTCCCCAGGAGTGTGGGATCTCAGGCTCCCTGAATCAGGATCTGCATGTTAACAAAGCCTCCAGGTGACTGGTGTAGACAGGGAACTGTGAGATGCACTGACATGACCCCAAGAAATCTCAAGTATCAGCTGTTTTGTGAAGAATTCTTATCTGTGTTCAAGACAACATTGGCTAGTGGGCACTGATTTTTACACACACTCTCTCTACCCAGAGACACAGCTGGCAACAAGAACAGCCTGAGGGGAACATGATGAAACGTCTCAGAATCCCCGTTTACAGGCTCGGGAGACTACTTTGGGGGACCCCAGATTACACCTGTGTCCTTAACTCCCCCTGTACCCAGTCATCTGTGTCATCTGCCGCAGTGACTCCGCCTCCTCATCCAAGATGCCCACTCACCCTGCTACCTGTGCTCTGGGTCTGTTTTTCAGAGATGAGGGGAAGGTGTCATGGTTTTCAAACAGTGCCTTGCTGAACAACAGGAGAAAAACTGATCTTTTGCTACATGGAAAAAAATGCACCCAAAAATGAAGTAATGAGGGAATAACAATGAACCTTAGGGGCTGTCCATAAAGCAAGCCTAGGATAGGATTGAGAACTTCCTTATAAAGCCAGATGGAGGTTCCTCGGTGGCTGAGCTGTGGGTGGTATGGGGCTGAGACCAGAACTGTGGAATCCTGGGTTATAAAAGGTCAGAACAGCTTCTGCCACTGGTCAAATCTTCCATGAGTCCTTGGGGGAGACACAGGGGAAGGGACCCTTGGCTAAAAGGAGGATGCAAGCCCGGGAAAGCCAGGAGCCTTCTCCAAAAGGCGATGCTTGGCTTTTCTTGGGGCTTGCGGGAATTTCATTATCCTGTGCACACTGTACAGATGGGAATTTAATAATTAATTAGGGAGGAGCTCACCCGAGAGCTCGTGCAGGGGGATTATGCAAAGCAACTGAGATGTGGCAAGGGGCTGAATATTTTATAGTGTGTTTAATTTGCAAACACTACCTACTCAGAAGGCTTAGGCAGGAAACCTATCATCATCATTATAATTATTACTCATGCAAAACTACTTGAATTTCCATCAGACCACCTTCCTTTCAACTGTTTTCACCAAACACTTCTCACAAAAAAGTAATTTTTTTAATGAAGGAAAAGAAAGTAACAAATGCAAAAGAGTATTAGAAATGAAAGGAACCCATGTTTGAATTAAAAAAAAAAAAACCTAGACACCGCCTTTGTGTAGCCTGCAATTCTTTTTAACATTCGAACAGCTTCCATTCTGATAATTTCCTCTCATGTGCATTCTATCAACTGAGCTCAGACCCCAAACCCCCAAAGAAACCAACCAATGCATTATTTCTTAGGCACTCTAAACATAGCGCATTAATTATGCCACCCACTGATTCTGAGTACCCCAACATTCTATCTATAAATTCTCCTCTGCTTAAATAAGCCAGAGCAGTTGCCTACTGCCTCCCAACAACAAAAAAAACCCTAACTGCTCTAAATTGTGTGGATAATAGGGGCTAGAGGAGTGCACGCCCAAGGCTTTCTAGTTAATTCCACCTGTCCCGCAACCAGCACAGGTGGAAAACTCAATCATCTACAACAGGGTCAGCAAACTTTTTCTGTAAGATGCCAAATAATAAATATTTTAGGCTTCGCGGCCTCACCGTCTCTGTTGCAACTTCTCAGCTCTCCCGCGGTGAAGGAAAGCAACCACAGACAATCTGTAAACAAAACAGACGTGAGCGTGGCTGTGTTCCAATCAGACATTTCCAAAAGCTGGTGGCGGGCCTTAATGGTCCGCTATGGCATTTTTTTAAGACTTTATGCAATTTTATTCTTTAAAAAACGACTGGGGGTGGGGGGGCTCTCTCTGACCCCGAGCACACGTAATATGCAGACCTACATATATTAGATCAAACCGGTGGTTCTCACGTTTGGCAACATCTGGAGACCAGGGTGAGTTTCCCAGGTATGTAAGTTGCACGCTGGAATGGCCTACCACACTTAGAAGGGCCCCAGTCCCACACCTGATTTTAACACTTGACTATCACTGTGTTGAAATTCTTAATACTTTTTCTGCAGGGGGCCCACATTTTCTTTCGCACTGGGCCTCACACATTAGCTTGGCAGGCGTGCCGGAGACACGGAAAACATCAAAGATTGCGACGCCTGGGGAGACGCTGTTTGGGCTTCGGCTTAGTGGGCAGAGCGGGGAGGCTGTTCAATATTCTGCAACTCACCAGACAGCACCCGCAAAACGGCCAAGAATTATCAAATCGTCAGTAGAGTGGTGCGCGCCCCCCATTACCTGCAGCTTCACTTACCCACCGTCAGCTGTGGCCTAAAAATATTAAATAAAAAAATCCCAGACACAAGCAATCCCTAAGTTCCCAACAGCGCCATTTTGAGGAGCGGGAAGAAATCACCCCAGACCTGCTCCCGCCGAGGCCGGCAGGACGCTGGCTTTTGGGAGCCGAACGGAGCGGCGCACGCTACGCACGTTCCCGCCAGGTGGCCCGTCCTGGCGCATGCGCGATTGCAGGGGTGAACCCGGTACCGCAGTGCCTGTGGTCACAGAACCCTTGTTTCACTTCGTAATGTCCTCTAATCGCAGAAGTGGGGCCTCTGGCCATTCGGAAACATCGGAGATTAGCCAGGCATGCTTCCTTTAAGTGACAAGGTATGTATACAAACCCCCCCCCCAAAAAAGAAAGAAAAACCACAGTGCATGTAGGGTTCCATACTGTCTATGATCGCAGGCACCCACTGGAGTTCTTGGAACATATGCCCCAGGATGAGGCGCTACTACTCTAGTGCCCAAGCTTTAAAAAAAAAACTGCGTTAAACCATGTAAAATTGTTGCTATTCTACCTTTTTGGACATGCAAGTAAAGTCATTTTGTACAGTGCCGCCTAATTGAACCAGGTTTTACATGTTTATGAGACATAAAAGTATTTACGGAGCAAGAAGAAAGTATCAATCTATGCATTTCTGATTTGTTTGCGTTTGCCGCAAATAGGCCTCTTTAAATCTACCCCGACTTCTGTCCCCGTGTATTTATTCATTTCCTGTTTATTTTCTTAAGAAGGAATACATGCGAATGCAGGACTTTTTGAGGTTCTGAAACATGCTCAGTAAAAGTGACTCTCCCACCCACCCTGCCCCTCATCCCTGTTCCCCTTCTTAGGACAATCCCAATTATCACTGCCCCGCTCAGGCACTTTGTAAAAAGGGGGCACTCTGTATACGGGGCTAGTCCATTTTCTTTAGGGTGTCCTTTATCTGCCTGCCTCAGACGTTCACCGATGATCCGCTGTGCATGGTCCAGCCCTTGCTTTGCTTCCCTTTCCTCCAGGGGCCCCCCGAGGGCGGGGAGGTGGCTGCTTTCCAAAGAAGGACTCCAAGTATTTCAGGGCCTTCTCCTCCCCCAATTCTGCCTCCTGTTTCCCCTCTCTTGAAGTCACACCTGAATAAAAAGTAGCATTGCATTTTCCATTTCCTGATTTCTCCCCCTCGGTGTGCTTTGTCACAGAATGCCTTATTGCTTTATTTCAAGTCTGCTGGGACCCAGCAACGGTCAAAGTTGTTGAACAGAGTAAAAAAGCACTTGAGCTACATTCAGGCCAAACCTCTATAGATAGATTTGGCCCTCATTTCTGTTCCAAAAAGAGCCGGAAAGAGACGGCCTGACATTGGAAGCTCAACTTCCCTGGTATTGATTTTGACTTGAAGCATGAAGGAGAGGCCGCCTCTCCCTATGCATGTGAGCGTGGGTATATAGGACCATGTAGGTGCTCGTAAATTATTAATACCACGTTTGAATTGAAAAGAGAAAAAGATGAGCGAAAGCAACCAGAAAAGCATAGGCAGGCAGAGAACACCAATTCAAAAGAATGATTAATTATTTAGAAGTATTTAACGACTATCTTAGTTCAAGGGCAACATTTCTCGTTCAGAGAAGTGAGAAGCTTGCAGGGAAAGTGTGGCTCTGGCCCCAGGCGGCAGCAGATGGATGTGGGAGAACCCCAAGGCCCTTGCCTCCTTCTTGACCCTTGAACTCCTGGGCCACCATACTTTGTCTCCTAGGAGGAAGGCTGTAGGCTCCAGGCTCCCTCAAGCCTCCAAGGAGGTGAGAATGAGATGCTCTTGAGGGTTGGTTGTCCTGGCAGCTTGATGTCAGAGGTGGCAATTCTGTGATGAAGAGAAGGCTGAGTTGCATTACTTCTGATGGGGTTACCTCCCCAGAGCACTGCTGTCCTTACACTCCAAGGTGACCCTGACTGGTGCAGAGGCTGGGTTGGCAGGACAGGGGGGTTCTTATTGTTGGGAGGAAATCCCTCCACCAGCTCTTCTAACTGAACCCTCCTGCCTCCCACTCCTGCTACCTTGTCCTCCAGGGCACGTTGGGTCCTTCCCAGTTCTTGCCACATCCCTGTCTAAGTGGATGGCTTGAGATGGTGCAAAGGGGTGAAGGATAAGGTAGGAGTAAAAGAACAGAAAATAAGCATTTGGAATGGTGGAATAGTCTCGATTTTAGATTCCCAGATTTGCTGTGCTACAAAAGTCTGTGAAGGGTTTTTTGTGTGTGTGGTAAAATACACATAATATAAAATAATATAAAATTTACCCTTTTAATCATTTTAAAGTGTACAGCTCAGTGGCATTAAATGCATTCATACTTTTGTGCAACCATCACCCTCAGCCATCTGTAGAACTTTCTCATCATCCTAAACTGAAAGTCGGTTCCCATTGAACACTAAGGCCACCCCCAGCCCTGGCATCCCCTCCTCCAGCCCTGGCAACCACCATTCTACTTTCTGTCTCTATGAATGTGACTTCTCTAGGTATCTCATGTAATTGGAATCATACAGTATGTGTCTTTTTGTGACTGGCTTATTTCACTTAGCATAATGTCCTCAAGGCCCATCTGTGTTGTAGCAAGTGTCAGAATCTCCTTCCTTTTCAAGGCTGAATAATATTCCATTATATATATACCACAATTTGCTGAGCCATTCATCCATCCATCCATGAATGCTTGGGTTGCTTCCACCTCTTGGCTATTGTCAATAATGCGAATGTGAACATGGGCGTACAGATATCTGTTCAAACTAGGTAGCTTTTTAAAACATATCTCTAAGTCTTACCTTGTGAGATTTTTATTTCACTAGCTCTGGAGTAAGTGCTGGGAACCTGTACTTTTAATAAGCATCCCCCTGATTCTAAAGTCAGACCAAGTTTGGGAGGTGAGGAACTACATGCCTGAGCAAATTGTGCTAATCTTAGGGAGTCCTCTTTTTAGTTCCTTTGTAATCCCTGATGATGACAGCAAAAACATCTTTCATTTTGTAAATGTCTGTTCCAGCAGTCTGAACATCTGATATTTTTCGTTTACAATAGGGAAACTGAGGCAGAGACACAACTCAAGCACCAGGATTCAAGCTCATTTCTCTGACTCCAAAGACCGTGCTGTTTGGCTCATGAACTGTCCTGCTCTCACTCCCCTAAGTCTGTGGCAGCTCTCCGGGGGACACAGGGCAACAGCAGCGTGATGGGATATGAATGAAAGGAGAGAAGAGTCTGCACCACACAGGGGTGGCTGGCCGCAGGTGCTGTCCGGGGTAGCTGTTTCTCCCTGTCCAGAAAGATGTCATCCACAGCTTGGAAACAGTGAGTACGACCCGTGTTCGGCTTTAACACCGTAGGTCAGCTTCCTACCATCTTTAATGCGAAGATGCAAGGAAGATGCAAGGAGACCTAGATGGGGTGGCTGCCTTTTGCTGCACTCCTGCCAATCGATTCAAAATCCTGTTCTTGGTATTTTATATGATTTAGCTTATTGAGTCCTCGCCGACTCTTCCAGGAAAGATCTTTCCACTTTACAAATATGAAAATGAGAGCGATGTTGTATGATTTGCCCGTGGTCACTCAGCTAAGGCCAGAGCCAAGGTTTAAAAGCAGATCCTCCCGGCCTGGCAGCGAGTGTCCTCTCTTCCTCACTCTTTGCTTCTCACTCCTCCTTCCCTACCTTCCATCTCCAAAAAAATTTAAGATCACAGCACTTGAAGATCAGTGCTCAGGAGAAAAAGAATGTTCTCCTTTTTTGGCACTCTGCTAAACTTCTCATCTTCTAGCCATTAATCGTTTTTGTGACTCTGAAGTTCCCAGAAAAGGGGCCATTGTCTGACCAAGCCTACTGTGTGTCTCTGAGCCCCTGCAATGCTTACTACCCGGTTGTTTCGTGAGACTCTACTGGGCACTTTCAGGGAACCACAATATGAGTCCATCACACTTTGATATTACAAATCGTGTCCAGGGCCCTCTGCAGGGCTGTATACATGTTTATCTCAATGAATGATTACTGACCAGATGAAGGAGTGAACGAATGAATGCATACTTCTCATATGTCTTGAGTGGACCTGTTTGCTGTGTTAGTCAGGGTTCGCCAGAGAAACAGAGCCAGTATTAGAGAGAGATTTATTTTAAGAAATTGGCTCACATGATTCTGGGGCTAACAAAAAAAAATTGTCGAGCAGGACAGCAGGCTGGAAAGTCAGACGGGGTTTCTATGTTTCAATATTGAGGCAGAGTTCCTTTTTCAAAAACCTCAGTCTTTGCTCTTAAGGGGCCTTCAACTGATTCGATGTGGCCCACCACGTCATCAATGATGATCTACTTTACTTAAAGCCAGCTGATTGTAATTGTTATCATATCTAAAAAATACCTCCACAGCAACATCTGGACTAATGTTTGACCAAACTGGGCACCATAACCTAATCAGGCTGATACATGAAACCACCCATCCCAAGCACATACTTCTCAAATTCAGAGACTTATAAAAATACAAGATACTATGAATATTACCAAAGGAGAAAAGAATAAGAATGTTACAGATTGACAACTGTTAATGATAAGATTACTATGAATTTATAATCCCAAAGTCTAGAGTCAGATGTTGTTACTATTTATATCCTACTTGCTTAGAGAAAATATTTGAGGAATCACAGTCAAGAGCAACAATCCAAAATAAATTGTCAAGAGAATTGGAGTTATTGAGCTTTGCCCTAGTGAGTAATAAAATTATATATATTTTATCTCCGCTAAATCATAGGATTTTAGAACTACAAAAGAACCTAATTTGGAGACTACTGTTTTATGTAAAAATAAATCCAGAACCAGAGAGAAAAGTTTACTGAAGGTCTTACCCTATTAAGCCATATGCCCTAGCCATTCTGCAACCAGATCACACAGTCAAATTAACCCAACCTAGAAAAGGAAAAGATTTTTTCTTCATTGAATTGGACTTATTGCAGAGGCCAGCTTCTGGGGATCATGGGATCTGGCCTTCACATGTTAATGAATCATTTTAGTTTTCAAAGACGTTGAAGGGTTACTTGGGAAGCATGGTGAGTGGAAGGGGGGCCATAGTGAATCAAAAAGAATGAGTATCCACCAATGAGCTCCTTACCAACGGGTCCAAATTTGAATACCACGGTAAGATCTTCAGAAACAGGTGTGACTCACTTACTTCCTGGGAAGCTCACTGGAATACTTAAAGGAAGCAAATGTCTCTCTGAGCTTCCCCACAATTCATAGACTGACAAAGCCCCCCAAAGCCCACCAGGAAAACAACCCACCAGCAGAGCTTGCTCTGAGGACATTGAGTGCACGTGGCCGGAAGTGACGCCCTCCATTCTTATTTCACCAGCGTTGCCAGCGCTGCAGAAAGTGGCAGGTGTAGGTGATCCTGGCTCAAGCTCAGCAGGAGAGGTGGGAAAAGGATGGTAAGGAAAACAGACAGCATGCTTAGCGGAAAATGCGTTGGTTTGGGGCTCAGGAGGGTGTGGATTGAGTCCTGACTCTACTCCGTGTTCATCACCTCAGCTAACACTTTGAATCTCGGTTCTCACCAGAATGGGAATAGTTACACCCACCTCATAGAGTGTTACGAGGACTGAGGAAACATCTATAACATTCATTCAATGTCCTGGTAGGGATGGTGCTCGGTAAATGATAACAAAACACAAACCAATCCTGCCCCCGTGGCACCAGCTTCTAAAAGGGCCTGGAGGGGGACCCCTCCCAGAAAGAGAAAAGAAAAGAACGGCCAAGAAGGGGTGGACACCCCAGCTCTCCTGTTTTCTTCTACAACTATGAGTCCAGACTTTAACCTCTTCCTTAGAAACATTGCACACTGGACAAGAGAGGAAGTAATGGAAATAGTAGCCTTGTACTGCATTAGACACCACTCCCACACACACCAACCCCTGCTTGTTTCTTCATGACTTTACTTTTTTAACTCTTGAATCCAGGTTAGCTATTGCCTGTTCCTATTTTTTTAAGGAAATTCAGGCCCTTTGCAGTAAAGGAAACAGGCATTCTCTGGCACTTTCTATTGGGAATGTCTCTCGATTGTCAGTAGAAAGCACGTACATTTGTTAATTTGCACCCTAAACACACCCCATGGCCTCATTTAACTCTGAGTGCTCATCTGTGTATTGCAACTGCCTATGCATGGTTCCAACTTAATCAAGTACTTAATGAGTAGCATTAATATTCATTGTCTTCTCCACAGGAGCTTATGCTCATCAAGGTAAATAGCTGCTGGCCTGCCGCCTGTGCAGCCTGTGGTGGAGCTGAGAATTGTCTGTTTCCATCTAGACAGTGGACTGTTTGTCCCCCCAAGGCGGGGAAACCCTCCTGGGTACTTTCCAAAGGCTTCATTTTAAAACGAGATGTTTCCACTTAACATCTCGTATGAAAATGCCAAGTTTCTTGGCATATTTTGAAAATGCCAAGCAACTTGGAAGAGCAGTAAGAAATCCATTATCTGTGTGATAGTCATTCCAAAATTCTTGTAGCATGCCTATTATGCGCCAGCAGGCACTGTACTAAGTACTGGGGATGCAGTGATGGCCCCAGGCAGCCCTGGTCCCGCCCTCCTGGCTGCTTACCGTGTAGTGGAAGAGGCCCACACTTATGGAAGGGTTACCCTCAAGGGCATAACTGCCAAGTGAGAGCAGTGTGAGAGCATGGGGTGTTAGGAGAGCTATTCCCGAAGGAGATGATGGAGCTGAGTGCAAAGGTGATTAAGGGAAAAAATCAGTCATTCACCAAATACGAGGACTGGAACGTACACTCACCCAACATCTAGTACAACTCTGTTTACAGATGAGGAAACTGAGGCCCAGCAGTGTCTCAGTTTGCCCAACCTCTTGCCCAAGGTCAGAACTAATTATAGAAACCAGCCATCCCAAAACTCAATCCCTTCCTGCTAAATCCCATGATTTTATTTATATCCCAGCAATAGATTCTCTCAGTACACTTGGCCAGTGAGATGCAGGCTATTACTGTGTTAAAACCACATCCCTCAAGACCACAAGCATCAATAACGATTGTGCTTTAATGCGGATGATGCCTTTTCATTTTGCAAATCCAAAGAGTTCCCATCATATCAAAATCCAAGACGGTTTGTTTTCTGTAAGAACGGGAAGGTCATAATACTGTCTAAAAAGTACTGGCACATCTACCCCTGCGCGACGCGATGCTGATTTGGGAGTGAGCCGCGTTGAAGCGGACTTCCTACCCCAGCTGGGGTTGCAGATTTGCAAGCGGCGTTTGGGTGGCTCTTTGCTGTTTCCCCGCTATAGTCTGTCTTTGGACTCCGGAAGCCTCTGGGGATTTATCACCGCTGAAGCGGCGTGGTGGTGTTCTTGCCAGTGTGTGCATGCGCTGCATGGTTAAACATGCTTTTGAAAAGCCCGTGAGAATCCACTTGCAGTCGGTATGTATGCATGCAAAAGTGCAGAGCGAGGACTGAAAAGAGTCGCAGCTGAGCACACCCTGACCGGAGGTTACCTCTGGGGAGCGGCTGCCACGGGGAGGGAATGTGATGTGGTCTTTTTGCTGTAGATACGCCCAAGTTGTGCGAAACCTTACGCAAGAACGTATTCCTGTGTTACACATTTCATACATATGTATGAATTTTTCAAAATAAGATTCTGAAACAAAAATAGCTTTGTCAGTAGAACAAAGGTGCGTCTCCCAGAGGGCAGCGGCGTTTCTCGCGGCTGTGACTGTCTACCGCAGAGACCTCACAGCAACTCCCTCTGGCCATCAAGGAATTGAGGGTGCAAAACGTGCTGTCTACGGCATCCCTGCGGGAGATTTGGAAAGTTGGGGACATCTCGGGGATGGCCACACTAGCCTGCACCCCCAACCCGTGCGTTTAGCGATGTCTTGACTTTTCACAGTGCGTACCCCTCATCGAGCCACCCAACGGGTGCTGGTGCGGGAGGGTGCGGCAGCGACGGGGCGGGGCGAGCGGAACTCTCACCCCCACTTTCTCCCCAACCCGCCCTCGCCCCCCGCCCACGCCTGGGCGCCGGCCCGCCCCCTCCCCTCCGCGCGCAAACGAACCTCTCGACGCCGCGCTCCGCGACTGCGGGCGGGGGGCCGGGCGAAGGAGGGGTGGCCCGAGCCACCCGATTCCCGACTCTGCAGTTGTCTCCCGAGCGCGGGCTGCGCCGCCCGAGCCGCTGGGCTGGGGACGCAATAGCTAGCCGTTCGCTCGCGGGCCGGCTCCTCCAGGCGCTCGCAAGCATGCAGCGGGGGAGCTGGCGGCACGTCCCGGGCCGCTGCTGATCCGGCCGGGGCGGCGGGAACCAGCGCCTGCCGAGCCCCTCCCTCGTTGCCCCGGGGCCGACGAGCGGCTCCCGGGCACCCCCTCTTCGCCTGCAGCCACGCCACGCCACCCCCCGCGGGCCGCAGGGGCTCATGCAGCCGCCAAGGTAAGCGCGGGCCAGAAGCGGGGTGGACCCGACTCCGACCTCCCGGGGGCGCCTCTGACATTTGCCGGGGCCACCGCACTGGTTGGGTCCTCCCTAGCCCCACGTCTCATCTTGCTCCCATCTTGCCCAGATTTGGAGCTTTGCTGCGCCTCGATCGCTTTTAGCTCTTGGCAGCAGTAAAGTTTTTGTGGTTTGGTATTTGCTCTTTTTTTCCTAAAAGTCTCTCCCCAGGCAGCCAGCAGCGCGCGTGGTTGGACAGTCCCGGCGAAGGTCTCCACTGTGTGCGGGCTGGGAGCTCCTTTCCTTTTTGCTTGACCCCCTCTTCCCGGTAGCCAGCGATGGAGCCGGTCACCCGGCTGTCCCGCGGAGAACCCCCGACTGGCCCGACTAGCTCGACTCCCTCCGGCGGTGCGTCGGTTTTTCTAAACCAGCTGCACAGGCACAAGACCAGTGCCTGCACCCGGGGGCGTCAGCTCAGAGCTAGGTCAGGGCTCAGGTCCCAGCGGTCCTTTGCTTGGGAACGCAGGTGTGCTGGAAAATGCAGGACTTTGCTTAAGTGCTAAAGGATAGGATTTCCAAGTGGCCCTGGTGTCCCTGAGTGGGTGGTTGGGGCCTGCAGGCCAGGCACAGGGATCACTGCGCGCCTAGCTCTCGCGGTGGCTCATCCCAGGGAACCAGCTGGGGCAGGGGGACAGGTGTATTTAGAGGGGTAGGCCCAGGTGGGGACGCTGGGATGCAATTCTTGATTGCATCCTGTTAATGTAATTGCATTGGATTTGCTCGGAGGTAGAATCAATTCCCTCAAATTGAGATTTTAATGGGGGCCTTCGAGCTGCTATTATGTAGTGTGGTTTCTGAAGGCGTTCGATTTTATTTATTTTATAAATAGGGTGTCTTGTGGACGAATTAGGGGAAATTGCGCCATCTAGAGGAAATGGTGAGCTGCGAATTCCTTTTAGGCTGCAAAGTTAGGTGTTCTCTACAATAGGTGTCTCTTGAGCCAGGTCGGGAGGCAGGAACAAGACTGCAAGGAAGACTAATTGCCTATGTTTCTACAGACCCGCTGAGCCCCAGAGTCTGAGCTCAACGGACAGAATTGCAGGTCGTGGTGAGTGGCACAGTCGTGCTGTCACCTCAAGGAGAGCCATCACCTTCTCCATCTGGCTTTAGGATCCTCCAGCAGAAATGTAACATAAAATGTTACCTGCTGGTCAGAGGGGGTGCCTGTTCTTTAGACATCTGGGGCAGAAATCTGGAAAGTCTGTGCACGAACCTTGCTCTTCTCCCGTGCATCACACAGATGAGTAATTTTTCAGGTGAATCCTGAGCCCTGATCCCTGAAAACAAAATTAGCTGTGCTCTGAAGGGCAGCTGAAGGAGAACTTGGCAAGGCTCTTACCAATCTGTGCAGGAACTGTGTGGTGTGACAAAAATGGCATGTTTACATCTACAAAGAAGAGGTTTCCCACTGTTCCACCACCATAGCAGGTGACAGGCAAGCCCCCCTCGTGAGGGACATGATCTCCAGTTAACAACAGGGCAGACTTTGCTGGATGGCAGGCGGAGTGGAGGAAGGCGCTGGGTGGGGCGCCCACACACCCAGGCATCCCCACATTCTCTGTGGCTGAGTTTTGCTGCCACCTTCCAGGCCAGATGGTGTTAGCAATGAGCTGAGTTCTCTCTGTCCGGAAAGGGGCCGCGGTTCCTCGTAGATTAGTGCCACGTTCTGCTTGTGGGGAAGACCCTGCCCCATGAGATCCTCGGAGGAGCTCCGGTGGTGGATCTGCTCCCATCCTTCCTTCCCAGGTGTCAGACAGGTGCTTCCTCTCTGGATAAACATGGAGAATGGTAGGTGGCCTGTGTCCCACCCCCAAGCTGTCTCTCCCATTTGCAGGTGTTTATTTAGTAACCAGATTTGTGACAAAGGAAAAAAAGGGTCTTGCAGTAACCTGGCTTCTCTGATCTTTGCCGAGAAACCTCTGTTTGCCTTCTCTCCTTCCAACCCTCCTCAAGACACAATTCACTGCCTCCCTAGTGTGTGTAATAATGCAGAATAAGGTGTCAAAAGCTCCTACTTAAATGGGTCTCCAAACACCCAGTGAGGGACCAAACACAGGAATTCTTAGATGAGGAAACACAAAAGAAAATGAATAGATACTGAGCATCCCTGACTATGGAGCAGGCAGTGTTCTGAGCCACGCTCCCAGTGCCTCTGCATGTGCTGGTATTCCCATTTCTCGGAAGAAGAAACTGACTCTCAGAGAGGCGAAGAAGTGCAGGCCAGGATCTGCGGAACTAAAGTGCTGTTTCCCCTACAGCCTTGCTACCAAATGAATTAAACTCAAGCACTTGCTTTTACACTGTGTGGTTCCCAAATCTGGTCACACCTCAGGAGGTACAATCACCGACCTCTCCAGAATTCTGCCATCCAGACAAAGTGAAACCGAGCCTAAACAAATGTATTATCAAAAACCAGTGCAGCCTCACAGGAATCTATTATGTTGGTGAAATGAAAAGGTACCACTCCTTAAAGATCATTGTTCTAGAACTTGACTTATAATCCCAAAGAGAAGTTCAAGTAACTTATAAGCTTCTGTGGTGTTCCTGGGGTTCTTTAGGAAATGGCTTTGCTTTTCAAACAACATCATTGCTTATTCATTCAGCAAACTGAACAATAAGTTCAACCTGAAGCAGGGAGGTCCAGGTTTTCCCACCTGTGTGGTATCCAGCCCTACTCCAATGACAGACGATTCTTTTTCCTTCTTTTGACCAAATGACAGCTCGGCATCGGCCTCCTTTCTCTCAGCTACGGAGCTGTGAAGGAGCGATCATCAGGGCAGTGGGGAAAACTAAGGACTGCCTCGCCCAAGGGTGCACACAAGGTCAGAGTCACCTGCCGACCTGACGAGGTTCCTGGTGGCATCCCCTCCTAGGTCCAGCCCTGCTCCTCATCCCTCAGTGCTGAGTTTGGCAGGCCATTCTGCCCTCAAACAGGGGATTCATGGGCATTAATATCGTTTTACATCAGTCAGTGGAGCTAAAATACTCCGATCCTTAGATTTCAACATCCTGATTTCAAAATGCTTCCCTCACGATCCTGAAGCACACCTGGTTTCGGAGCTTGGGTGTCTCAAGATCATATGGTGAGAGAAAGCCAGATGCCAGCCTCTTCCATGCTGTCAGGGTTTTACGTTGCTTTTATGTGTCTCTGTTGAGAGCATTTCGAGAAAGGATATCCCTGTGCTCCAAGTGCCTGATCTGTTCGTGAGCGTATGGATTCTGTTGGCAGCCTGGCTGACTTTGGACCTGGCAGGGGACACATTGCCCCTCTGAGCCGGGGCCCAGAGTTAGTGAGGGCAAAGCAAACCCAAGCCAAGATGCTGCCCAGGCCCTCCCTTCCAGGGTCCATGACCCATCTCTAGGGGCAGAAGCCCATCTAGCTTTGAACTTGAGGCGTGCCCTGAACAGCTTGTGGCCGGAAGGGACTGCAGTGAATTGATGCTATAGATAGGCTCACCCAGATGCCTTGGTGCATGGTACTCACCTGTCATTCAGAGACTTTTAAGTGCAGGTGAGTACTATATGAAAACTTGACCTAAATATACCATTTAGAATGCAAAAGAAAGAAAAAGAATTCTGTAACTATTTTAACTTACTAAGTTTGTAGGGAGATGAGAGAGATTATTCAGGGAGACTTATCTTAAAATGTATGTCTTTGTTTATTTCTGGAAGACAGTATAATTCTAAACATATTCCCATCTCTAACGCATGGTCTGCCATTGGACATACAAGGTGTAGTATGTGACTAACGACAGCAGCAGCGAAAGCTCTGAGTGAAGATGAGAAGCAGCATAGCAGTCTCCTCATGTATGAATGGAGACGTGTGCGCCCATCCCATAGTTGAGACGACCCTGCAGTTTCGTAGGAGACTTACTCTGCTAACAGGAGCTCACCAGAACTTGAGTATAACTAATAGTACACTTTGAACCCACCAGGAGTCAAGTTTACCTAAGAGTCCTTGGGGAATTCTGCCTATTTCCCCGCTGGTAGACACTGTCCTAATCCAAACAATGGTTCTTAACCATAATATAAAAGTAATATTGGCAACTACTCATCAACACTTTCTCTTTGCCAAGCATCTATACGAAGTGGTCTATTACTGTTTTCACTCATTTCATCCATACGAGAACCCCCTTGTATGATGAGCTAAAGTGTATCCCTGATTTACGGGCCCAGGTCTCGGCTCAGCCTGCGTGTTCTCGGCCAGCATGCTATGCTGCCCCTCAGTGTAGAAGTGAAGATACCCCTCGGCCTCCAACACATTTTGAAGAGGACACCGTGGAGGTAGAAGGGAAAGTCACGTAAATCTGGCACGTTTGTTCTTTCTGGATTGGCGCCCTTCCCCACCTCCCATCAACTGGGGATCTTCTTTCCTTCAGCTTTGCGTGAGCCATTCTAAACAACTTTGAACTTGATAAATAACTTGGTTATCTGTTCCTATTGCTAAACGTTTGTGGTATGTGTGCTTGGCACCAAACTGTTCATTAATCCAAATACTCCAGCCTTCTGCTGGTTGAGAGAGACACAGAGACTCCCTGGCAGTTCAAACACTTGCCTTTTGGTGCCTAAATGGTTCCAAGCTGGTTCTTCTCCCAAGAACTTAGTGGAATGGGGAGAGGTAAACACTAGGTTGTCTGTTCTCCATGACAAGAACCTGGTGCATCTTGGTACAGGTACCCAAAAGCTGCTT